AGGAAGCCTTCTATTTCTATTCTATTGGTTTGGTAACCTTTCCAACTGCCAGAATAAATTGTGCTACCATCTTCAATGTTTTTCAATAATTTTATCAAGAAGGGTAAAGCCATTTCTATTAGGAACAGTGACAACAAACGAATCTTTTGTTTCTCTACATATACCACCAAACACCCACTGTTGGGGTAATACTCGACCACAATTATTTTTACGTTTAGTAAACAAACTTTCATCAATTTCCACAATGCAATCTGGTCCACCTACCTTCTTTTTTGGTTTATTCTCCATATCCAAGACACATAATTCCCGCATGTAATTGTTCCAATCTATAACAGTTTTATCCGATAAATCAAGTTGCTTTTCACAAAATTTAATCGACGTCAACTCCTCGCACCAGCAATATATGAATCTCAAAGCTGTAGAAAATGGAATTCTGCTTCCCTTAAATCAGTTGTCTTTTTCTAAGTCCCACACTATAAGCACACTGACTGAAATTGCATTTCCAAAACTTATGTTCACCAAAATAAAGTTTCATGTCAAGGGAATTGGGACATTTTCGTTGTTTTGGTAAAATATTTCGGCTCCTGAAAAAAATAAAATTGCTTCTTTTTCTGTTTCTGGCAAATCCCAAATACGCATTTTCGCAGCACTACAAAATGGCATCAAAACTCAGCAAATCTGCAGCTGTTAGATTGGCGACACTTAAAATCGCCAAGTCTGTCGCCAAGGTATCGTTAATACGTAAATACCAAATTTATTTATAGATAATAATTATGGTTAAAGTTTTGTTATTGAGATTATGCAGGTATTGTGGCTGTATTCGTTTGCAGTTTAAATCGTTTATGTGTGTCATTAATCGTGAAATAAATGTCATTGTTTTCTAACAATTTTTATGGCATTATAATTTACAAACAATTAAAGTATGTTAGTGTGTGTGTGTGTGTGTGTGTGTGTGTGTGTGTGTGTGTGTGTGTGTGTGTGTGTGTGTGTGTGTGTGTGTGTGTGTGTGTGTGTGTGTGTGTGTGTGTGTGTGTGTGTGTGTGTGTGTGTGTGTGTGTGTGTGTGTGTGTGTGTGTGTGTGTGTGTGAAATTTAAAGTGTTTCTATGAGACGGAAAGTGGCTCTCTTTTTGAAGCCGCTCTAGGTCTAGTATGGGCCCAGACGATACAATGCAATGAAATGAAATGTTACTCATTAATAAAAAATATCGACAAATTAGTAAATTATAAGGCTTGCAGCCCAGCGTGCAAGATGATAAAGATTCGAATGCTTTAGGCGCATACATTGTGTTCACTGATTTTATAAATGAAGTAATTGAATGATTGCATACACGCCACATTACACGTGAAGCAGTTTATCTTGAAAAACCATCTCAGTAGTCAACAACATCTACTATTCATCTACCCAGAACTATCCGGCTATATTTCTTTAAAAATTAAAGTACATGACCAAATAGTATTGCTTCAAAATCTAAAAGCTTAAAAAAGAATCTAAAAACTTCTCAAGAATATTCCTTTTTATTTATTCTTACGTCTACGACTAACAACAAAAAAAAAAGTTTTGTGTCAGACACCATTCGGAAAATAAAAGTTTAATCGAAAACCGTCCGAAACTTTCCGTTATCTATATTTACGATTCACAGATTCAAAACAGCACCCTTCAACATATTCAACATCAAAAAAATAAAAACTGTCTGTTGTTGCCCAGATGTGATGCACATACATCCGCTTAATGCAATAAATGTCTCCAACGAGTGGTACAAGAAGTGCTGAATAGCATCGCAAACGAGATTTGACGCAACGGACCGGATGGACGAAGTTTTTTTTTTTTTTTACATGTTGTGTCGCTGATTTAGAAGTTGTGCCAGATACTATCGGGGTTAATTTTTTAGGGTGGGGAGCGTGAATTTGTTCGGAAGTTGAGTTTGGGTACTTAAGTTTATCGGAAAAGAAATATTGGTTACGGAACAAAACTACTGAAAGTTTAAAGTGAAAATAAATAAGAAATAATAAAATACTAGGATATGAATTCAGATAGAAGATATTTTTAAAAAATTTATTTTGTTGTTCAATGAAAGCTTTTTAATTTTTGTTGCATTTCATTAGCGTTCTTTGAACTTTCTGTATTCCGAATTGTTTTTATGATTATTTTGCAAAAACTTTTAACTCAAACTGTGGCTTGTTTACGAAAACAAGAAAAATATTTTCTTAAAGCTATAGGTGTAATTATTATAATCCGAAAAGTGTATTAAAATAAAAATTTATTTATAGACAACAGTACAGTTATAACTAAAGTTTTTTTATTAGGTTTATGACGGTAATGTGGCTGTATTTGTTTGGAGTTTAAATCGTTTATGTGTGTCATTAGTCGTGAAATAAATTTCATTGTTTTGTAACAATATTTATGGCTTTGTAATTTTATAAAGTTATGTAGATATTTTAACTAGTATATGACTATGATATAATAGTTAAAGAATGTTAAAGTATTAGCATTTTGCTACGATATATTAATTAATGTATGTATTTTATTTTTCTCACGAGAAGAGTTTTGGCATTTCATTCCCAGGAGTGAAGAATGTAAATTCTTTGACAAGTAAATAAAAATGACTCATCACTCAAGTTTTACAGCAGACAAGCAGTATTGTGGGTAGTTGTGTTTCATGCAATTAGTGTTTTGTACTAAGGAGAACAACCTGTCACTCAAATTTGATAGCAGATATTAGGTATCATGTATAATGAGACTCAGGTAATTAGCGAATGTCTGTGTGACCTTCACGTGTCGAAACAACTACAGATTGAATATGAACTCACCATCAGTTATTCTATCGTGATGGGTGATAGATCACGAGTTGAGAAATGTCTACTCAAATGAGAAGTGAGGGAAGCCCGTTCATCCTTCCCCCCCTTCTCCTTGACGGATTGTATTAAAGGGAGGTTTTGGTGAAGAAGCGAGAGAGTTATGCGATTTGTCGAAGAGAAGTGTTATATTTCTTATTTTTCTCTGAAGTGACTAAATAGGCAGGATTTTTCACCTGTTTTACAAAGTGAACCCCTTGTGGTTTCGTGTATCACACCGTGTAGTCTGCCGCAGATCAGGCAATTAGATTCAACATAGAATAGAGAAATCGGAAAATCTCGTACTTGGGAGTTATTTGCACTTTAGATAAAATTTATATTTTAACTTTTATCACTGTGTATAATAATCAAAGTTCTGTATTTGTATGTATAATTCTTGTAAGTAAAACTTAAAATGTTCCCATGATCCTGAAAGTGGGCCTTTTCTTGAAGCCGTTATAGATCTAAATATAGACCGAGACTTTTCAATATATATTACAACTTTATTTATTCAACATAATATGCAAAACATATTCTAATACATATTAAACTTCTTATAGACGCAATTTCGTGTACTACACTGGCGTACAAAAACAAACAACGATGCAAGCTATCTTGAAACTGCACAAAAAAGACAATTAATACAATTAAGACCTAATTCAATAAAATTGCTATTCGCATGCAAACATCAGGAACAAAATGACACATATAACGTAGGAACACACAAAACGCGTACGCTCAGTACACAAAATGCATGACTAGACTAAATTCTACCAAAATCACAAGCATAGTTTTAAAACCAGTTGGTGATAGTCGACACCAAACAAAACAACGCCATTGGATGACCACTATATCCTCCTTCCGGCAAAAAAGATTTTCTGCAAGCAATGCCAGTTATGCAACAGCATTATTCAGCAGCGGCAACTCGTCGCTTTGTTTTTCCATAATCGCGTTGTTGTTAAATTATTTTCCTATCGATCAAAGTTAAAACGAAACATCAAAATGAAAACCTCAACAAACAAAAAAGACTCAGACAATAGTGGAAATTAAATTTAGAGCACAGACCCATGAAAGTAATTTATTTCACTGTCTGCTGCAATTTTCCAGCAAAGACAGCTTGATTTCAGAGGAAATGAGCTCAAAATGACAAACGAGCACATTTCCTTTCGCAGCCCTTAAAAAAAGAAAGAGAAAAGAACGAAATCTTGCCCATCAACATTCTGCCGGTCCCTCATTTCACCACAGCGGAATTCTGTCTGATTAGTGGGCATCACGTGTTCGTTGTGCAAGTCGTGACTCGGAAGACAGAGAGAGAAACAACAGACGGAATTTCGTTTTCGTGACATAACTTTCTTTCCACGCGAGTTCTTACTATTACTCCCGCCACATCTGTTTGGGACGCGTGGCTTTTTATTTCCAGAGTCATCCGAATGCGGTCCGAAAGTAAATTTTTCTTCTACTACTTTTTTGATTCCAAAAATATATTTTAATATTTTTTGATAACTTCTTCTTTAAGAAAATGAATTATGTCATGCGACTAGTTTATTATACGTTCAGCCGAGAAATACCTCAAAAAAAAAAAAAAAAAAAAAAGAAAAAAGATATAGCATCTGAATCTACTTTTAAAACATAGTTTCTTTTTTTTTCAATCAAAATATTCAACATGATTTCTAGAAGGTTCATAATTAACCTATACGGCATTGTTAATCTATAAAGCATAAAAATTTCTATTGGGGGACAGAATATTAAAATAATACAACATAAATATTATATAATTAATATAAAAATTAAACCATTATAAATATTTGTACTAGAGGAACTGATGGCCGAGTGGCTACCGTTCTAGCGCTCGGTACGACAACTTTCACGTTCGAGTTCCGTCGATGCCATGGATGTTTGCAGTGGTTTAGAATCCACTTTAAACCGTGAGCCCTGGTCTAATAGGATCGTAGATCGTTGTGGGGGTAGTATTACTCGCGTCCTCAGCATATCTTCAAGCTACACGTGCCCTCTGGGTCCTACTAAATGAGTAACAGTGTTCGTTGGTGCAGTCCACACGATACGCCTTCTTCCAGGCTAATTTGCGTTAGGCTACTCACAAGGAAATGGTCAATACGACCCAGTCCTCGACGTAATTAAATATATATATATAATATAATATTTAGAGCTACCGGTTCTCGTTCGATCACCGAAGTCAAGCATCATGGGGCGCGTTCAGTACTAGGAGGGTGACCACCTGGGAACACCGCGTGCCGTTGGCATTCACAAATTTGGGACCTGAATGGCCGAGTGTCCAGCGTTCTGGAGCTCGGTGCCACGGGTTTCGGGTTCGAATTCCCGGCGGTGCCATGGATGTTTTGTAGTGGTTCGGAATCCATTTTAAGCCGTAGATCCCGGTCTCCTATGACTGTAGAGCGTCACGAAGCCAAAGTCAGACTTCTACCTACGGTGCTCCATCCCAACAGAAGGTGCTTCCTTCCCCTTCAATCATGAGTACGTATGGGCTCGTGAGCAAACAAACAAACATATTTAGAGCAATATGATTATATATGGCATAAAACTAATAAGCTATAAAAAAGAAAGGATAGGATTAATTTGCGACAGAAATGTAATATTCTTCAGCTCATAATTTTTTATTTTTCTTTAAAAAAAATTCATAAGAAATAAATTACATTTTAAAGTAAACTATCAAAATTTCTTTTTGCGTTTTTAGAAAGTAATTCATTCAAATTGGGGCTAAAATATTTTTCTGTCATTAAAAGTTATACGAAACACGGAAAACCGCAGAAAAATTACTCAGACAAGTACTGGATATTCAATTTAGAACACAGTCCGATGAAAGTAATTTATTTCACTGTCTGCCTTTCCATTAGACAGCTTGATTTCAGAGGAAATGAGCTCAAAATGACACACGAGCACATTTCCTTTCGCAGACCCTTAAAAGAAAAGGAAAAGAAATCTCGCCCATCAACATTCTGCCTTCATTTCACCACAGCGGAATTCTCTCTCTGGATGAGTCGGCGTCACGTGTTCGCGGTGCAAGTCGTGACTCGGAAGACAGAGAGAGAAACAACAGACGGAATTTCGTTTTCGTGGACACAACTTTCTTCCGCGCTGGTTCTTCACTATTACTCCTGCCGCATCTGTTTGGGACGCGTGGCTTTTTTATTTCCAGAGTCATCCGGAATGCGGTCCGAAAGTAAATTTCACTTCTTAAATATATTTTATGGAATCAAAAAACAGTTGGTTTTTTTGATAAATTCTTCTTAGGTAAGAAGAATAATGCCAAGCAGTTAGTTTATTGTACGTTCAACCGAGAAATCCATCAAAAATAAAAAAGGTATACCATATGAATCTGCTTTAAAACATTGTTTCTTTTTCTCTCAAAATATTCAAGAGGATTTCTAGGATTTTTTTACAATTGATCTATACGGCATTGTTGTAAAAAATTTCAATGACGCACCCAATATTAAAAATAATAAATCATAAATATTACATAATTAATATAAAAAGTAGGCCATTATAAATATTATGTACTAGAGGGGCCAGATGACCGAGTGTCTAGCGCTCGGTATCCCAGGTTTCGTGTTCGAGTCCAGGCGATGCCATGGATGTTTGTATTCGTTCGGAATCCACTTTAAACCGTAGGTCCCGGTCTAATAGGATCGTGAGCGTTGTGGGGGTAGTGTAATACTCGCGTCCGTAACACATCTTCCAAGCTGCATACCCCCCTGCGTAGTGCTAAATGAGTAACAGGGTTCTTCGGTGCAGCTCATACGACATGCTTTTTCAAGGCTGGTTTGTATTTAAGAATTCTCGTGGGGAAATGGTCAATATGACTCAGTCCTAGACATAATTAAATATATATAATGCAATAAGATTATATATTGCACAAAACTAGTACGCTATAAAAAGAAAAGTTTAATGTGGACATAAAAACAATATTTTCAGCTCGTATTTTAATTTTTCTTTGAAAAGCAATTCATAAATAAATAATATCCCTTTAAAACAAACCCTTAAAAAATTTTTTTAGCGTTTATAAAAAGAAATACATTCAAGTTGTTGCTAAATTATTTTCCTATCGATAAAGAAACAAACAAACAAAAAGACAAGACTTGAAAATTAAATTTAGAGCACAGACCCATGAAAAGTAATTTATTTCACTGTCTGTTTTGTACTTTCGTAAGACAGCTTGATTTCAGAGGAAATGAGCTCAAAATGACAAACGAGCGCATTTCCTTTTCGCAGACCCTTAAATAAAAAAGAAAAGAAAAATCTCGCCCATCAACATTCTGCCGGTCCTCATTTCACCACAACGGAATTTTGTCTGATTAGTGAGGCATCACGTGTTCATTTGTAAGTCGTGACTCGGAAGACAGAGAGAGAAAAACAGACGGAATTTCGTTTTCGTGACATAACTTTCTTTCCACGCGAGTTCTTTACTATTACTCCCGCTACATCTGTTTGGGACGCGTGGTTTTTTTTTTATTTCCCGAGTAATCCGGAATGCGCTGAAAGTAAATTTCACTTCTTAAAATATATTTTTTTTTTTGAATCAAAAAACAGTAGGTTTTTGGTAATTTCTTCTTTAGGAAAGAGGAATTATGTCACAACTGGTTTTTATTATACGTTCAATCGAGAAATTCTTCAAAGAAAAAAAGGATACTATATAAGTCTACTTTTTTAAAAAACATGGTTTCTTTTTTTCTCAGATTATTATTCAAGATCATTTTCTAAAATTTTTATAAATAATCTATACGGCATTGTTAATATATGAAACATTAAAACTTTCAATAGCGACACAGAATATTAAAGATTTCATCGTAAATATTATATAATAATTATAAAATTGAACCATCATAAAACATATTATATACTAGAGGCTCCTGATGGCCGAATATCTACCGCCTAGCAATCGGTACCATAAATCCGCGTTCGAATCCCGTCGATACCATGGATATTTGTAATGGTTCAGAATTAACTTCTTTAGAAGTATATCCCAGTTTCTTAATGTGATAGTGGAGCGTTGTGGGGTAGTGTTTATCGCGTCCGTAGCATATCTCCAAGCTACAAGTGCCCTCCTAGGTAGTTCTTAAATGAGTAACAGCTTTATCGGAGCAGCCTCCACACGACTTATAATGCCTTATAGATTAATTGTAAAAATCCTAGAAATCATCTTGAGTATTTGAGAGAAAAATAAACAATATTTTGCAAAGTAGATTATGCCGAGTGGCTACCGCTGTAGCACTCGGTACCACAGGTTTCGTGTTCGACTTCCGACGATGCTATGAATGTTTGTAGTCGTTCGGAATCCACTTTAAGCCGTAGGTCCCGGCTCAAGGATCGTAGAGTGTTGTGGGAGTAGTGTTACCCGCATCCGTAGCTTATCTTCAAGCTAAACGTGCGCCCTAGGTAGTCCTAAATGAATAACAGCGTTTCATCAGTGCACCCCACACGATATGCATTCTTCAAGGCAACTTCGTATTAGGTTGCTCGCAGAGAAATGATCAATACGATCTAGTCCTCGACTCTACTAAATATATATATAGTGACTAAAACTATTATGCTGCAAAAATGTAAAGAGTAATGTGCGACAGAAAGACAATATTTTCAGCTTATAATTTTATTTTCTTTAATAATATTCTTTTTAAACAAACTCTTCAAACTTTTTGTAATGTTTTTAGACAGTAATGCATTCAAGTTGTTGCTAAAATTATTTTCCTATCAATAAGTTAAAACGAAACAAATGGAAATCTCAAAAAAACAAAAAAGACTCAGACAAGACTGAAATTAAATTTAGAGCGCAGACCCATGAAAAGTAATTTATTTCCACTGTCTACTGCAATTTTCCATAGGACAGCTTTTTGATTTCAGAGGAAATGAGCTCAAAATGACAAACGAGCACATTTCCTTTCGCAGACCCTTAAAAAAAAAAAAAAAAGAAATCTCGCCCATCAACATTCTGCCTTCATTTCACCACAGCGGAATTCCTTCTGATGAGTCGGCGTCACGTGTTCGCGGTGCAAGTCGTGACTCGGAAGACAGAGAAAGAAACAACAGACGGAATTTCGTGTTCGTGACATAACTTTCTTCCGCGCCACTTTCTTTACTATTACTCCGCCGCATTCTGTTTGGGACGCGTGGCTTTTTTTATTTCCCGAGTAATCAGGAATGCTGTCCGAAAGTAAATTTCACTTCTTAAAAAATATATTTTATGGAATGAAAAACAGTTTGTTTTTGGTAACTTCTTCTTTAGCAAAGAGGAATTATGTCATGCAACTGGTTTATTATACTAAAGGAGCTGGTTTATTATATTAACCGAGAAATCCTTAAAAAAAAAAAAAGAAAGAAAAAAAAAATGTACATCATCTGAATCTTCTTTAAAAGCATTGTTTCTTTTTTTTTTTTTCTCAAACTTCTCAAGAATATTTCTAGATTTTTATAAAATAAACTATACGGCGTTGCTAATGTATAAAGCATAAAAATTTCTGAGGCGGACAGAATATTAAAAATAATACATCATAAATATTATATAATTAATGTAAAAATTAAACCATTATAAATATTATGCACTAGAGGGGCCTGATGACCGAGTGGCTACCGCTCTTGGTGTTCGAGTCTCGGCGATGCTATTGATGTTTGTAGTGGTTCACAATCCACTTTAACCCTTAGATCCCATACTAATAGGGATAGTAGAGCGTTGTAGGGGATAGTATTACTCACGTCAATAATCTTCTTCAAGCTAAACGCCTGGGTAGTTCTAAATGAGTAACAGCGTTCGTCGGTGCAGTCCACACCATGCCTTCTTCAAGGCTAGTTTTATTGCAAACACAGGAAAATGGGCCGGCCATTTTTTCCGGCCCAGTCTTCGACGTAATTAAATATATATAGCTCAATACGATTACATATTGCATAAAGTTGATTACACTACAGAAAGAATATTAATGCCCATCAAAAATCTATTTTTCAACTCATATTTTTATTTTTTCTTCAAAAATAAATAATACTCTTTAAACAAACTCTTAAGTAATGCCTTCAAATCCTAGTTAAATTATTTTCCTGTCGATAAAAGTTAAAACGTAACATAAAAATGAAAACCACAAAAGAAAAGACCAGACAAGACTGGAAATTAAATTTAGAGCACAGGCCCATGAATAGTAATTCATTTCACTGTCTGCTGCAATTTTCCATAAGACAGCTTGATTTCAGAGGACAAGAGCTCTAAATGACAAACGAGCGCATTTCCTTTCGCAGACC